CCACATCCAGGAGTTTGAGATACTAATCTATTCAAAACTGTAGCGCTTTCGGTACTCCAATATTACCTATTAAAATCTCCTCATGCACTACTAATGTTTGTATTTTTAATATTTCTCCCCCACTAGTTAACTAAGAGCATCTGACCAGGCAGGCTCCAGTTGAAGCTAATGTTTTGAAGTTTAAAATAGTTTAAATGGAAACACTGTTTATCAGTTATGGAGATTATCAGAAAAACAAACAAAGAGCAAATTAACACGCCTATCAGGAAGAGAGAACCAGTTTACAGAGAAGAGGTGCGTGGGGCCCAGAACACAGTCGCAGTATGGATAGGCTGCATGGGCCACACACAGGTATCAGATTTGGGATGAGGGTGAGAAGGATGAGAAGATATAAACAGGTGAAGAGGAGATTCTGTTCTTGAGAGAGGAGATGAGAAGGAAGTATCAGAAGCTAAAAAAATGAAAGAAAAAATTGATAAAAGAAAAAAGATCCAAGAATAGGGTTTTAATGGATTCATGAATTCCAAAAAGAAAATGATATAATGCAAAGCATTTATTTCACTACTAATAGTATGAAGATGGTTTCTGCAGAAAACAAGTATTAGTTTTTCTTTATACAACTTTACAAAGTCAATTATCTTGTATGATATTCAAAGACAAGTGTCTTTATGTACAAGAAAACCAGAAAATGAGATTTAATCAAAACCAATTAATTTGGAAAGAAAATTTTCTTTAATATGCTCTAAACTCATTTTATTTGAGGAAAAACAAAGTTCTAGACAATGTGGTTTAAAACCACCTACTAATTTTATTTTCTATTATGATAGTCCAAAAATAAGTGAGCTAAGACTATCACATAATAAAACAAGTACAATAGAACCTCAGAGTTATGAACACCAGAGTTATGAACTGACCAATGAACCAAAGATATGGTATTTAGCTAAAGTGGAGAAGGATTTTAGGTGGGCTGACATGACATGACATCTAGTCTTGTGAACAAAAGAGGTCTGGGCTTGTCTACATTAGAAAATTGCACAGGTGTAACTTAAATTTATTAAGTCTGTTTAGTTAAACCGATGCAAATCCCTATGTAAACACTTATTTTAAGAGTGGCTTATTTCAGTTTAGTTTAAATTGGTAAGGAACTGACTTACATTAAATTGATATATGAAACTCTTATCTGGAAATAAGAGTATCTACACAGGATTTTGCACCAGTTTAGCATTTAGTTTAAAAACAACTTTAGCTAAACTGGTACAAGTTTTGTGTAGATAGACAAGGCCTCTGGTATGATTATTAGCTCTAGTCGCTTGTTCCGTAGGTCAGTAGAGGCTGAATATGCTGCTCAGATGTGTGGATAAGGGACTCATCACTTAAAAGTTGGCTTACAAAGGAAAAAAAAAAAAGAGTTGAATTCAACTCCCTCCCTTTCCTTTCTGATATATAAAGGAGGACGGAATGTTGCTCTCATGAAGGTATTTTTTCTTGCTCATTTTTACCTTAAAACTATCAGAAATGTCAGTTCTTTTCTTCTATATTTTTGAAGACCCACTGAACTGTAGTGGAACCTCTCTCAGCGCATAAAGATTCAACACCCCTGCACTATTATCATCTAAGACCTTTTCCTCCAAATGGTTCCTGACATTTGATAACATCTGTTTAACTCAAAAGTAAAAATCAAGGAGTTTTAAGGTACCTACCTACAACACCTTCCCCCTAATCAACATACTAAGTTTCACTTCCTTGGTACTTGTAGAGTCATAATCCTTCTACTTCCCCATCCATCTACACAGTGTTCCAGATAAAGAGGGTAGCAGAAAACCTGAATTTCTAAGTGAGACTGTACGCTCTTTGGGAAAAGGATTGTCCCCATCTGTGTGCATGTACAGCATGCAGCGCAATAAACCCTAAATCCTTATTGGAATCTTTGGATGATGCTACAATATTAATTTTATTATTATTATTAACAAGAACAAAAACCCTTTCAAAAGTTACTTTTCAGTCACTCTTTATATTTCATAAAGCAGCAAGAAGAACGACTGTAGAAGAGTAGACTCTCTGCTGACAAGTCCCCTTGGGGCTAGGCATGGTGTAGTAAGCTCTCATTTAGTAAGCTCCCCTGCTGACAGACCGCTCTGATGCTGTATGGCAGTGGTCCCCAAAGTGGTGCCCGCGGGCGCCCGCCGGGGCTTTTATGTGTGCCCACCTAGTGCCCAGCAGAGGAGAGAAGCTGCAGCCCCGCGCCTGACAGGGACAGAGAACTCCGGGGCTGCAGGCTGCGGGCGCTGGTGTTCTTGGTCCCTGGCAGGCGCGGGGCTGTGGTTTAAGCCGGAGAGAAGCCATGGCCCCGCGCCTACTGGGGACAGAGAACTCTGGGGCTGCAGGCTGCGGGCGCCGGTGTTCTCTGTCCCCGGCAGGCGCGGGGCCCACCTAGTGCCAAGCAGGGGAGAGAAGCCAGGGCCCCATGCCTGCTTGGGACAGAGTATTCCGGGGCTGTGGGCGCCCGTGTTCTCTGTCCTTGCGGCTTCTCTCTTCTCTCTGGATTCATACATTATGTAATATATTATGTAATATGATGTTTTTCGTATTATTTAATGTACAACTACAAAATAAGCCGTGCAAAATTGTTGGCGCCCGCCACACTCTTCTGAAAACATGAATGTGCTACTGGCCACAAAAAGGTTGGGGACCACTGCTGTACGGTCTGCCTCTTCTTCTGATTCGGACCTCCGATCAGGTTATATTTTAGTCCAGCCCCTTCTGCGGTAACAAAAAGTCCAACGAACAACAAGTTTCCAATCCCTCTGGTTCAATCTGTCACCCTTGATCCTGGGTCCCGTGGTTCATATGTCCTTTATTCAAACTCCCAGTCATCAATCCCCCTTCTCACAAGTTTTCTATCACCTTACCAGTGGGGTTAATAGAGGAACCCATGCCCAGGGTTCCAGTCCAGGGACCCTAAATAGACAGTCAAGTTTCAATCCCTCAAACTACTTATTGTCACCTCCCTGGACTACCAACCCTGTAAACAGACCTCTCCTACAGCCTAAGTTCACCCTTCTCGCAGGGCTAGGACCTCCAGGTCTCTCCCCTGGAATCCCCCAATAAATCCTAGAATAAAGTATAAACAAACCCCTTCTGCACTCCTTGGGCTTCACCTTTCAACCCTCTCTTGGTCCTTAAGTGAATACATCTGAGGGCTTTTTCCACACACTGATCCCATAGAGTGACTGCAGAGTTTCTCCCATTCTCCCTGCAGACCTCTTTCTACTACAAACTTTCCTCTCTTTCTACTAACCCCCAGCTCCTCCCTGCCCAGGTACAGGCAGTTCAGATTCAGAATAAGACAATTCTGAACTTCCAAAAAATTCAAGTTTGTTGAGATCCTTTGTTCCAGTTTTGGCTGAAGATAGTTTAAAGAACAGGTTAGACAAACATCTGTCAGGGATGGTTTAGGTAAACTTGGTCCTGCCTCTGTGAGGTCCCTTCCAGCCCCTACATTTCCTTGCTTGTGACAAGCCCCAGTAATAAAGTTCAGACCTGGATGCAAACTTCCCAAAAAGTTCACGTGGTTTTAGATTACAAGTTTTGATCCAGGCATATCTCTATTTAACAGCACCTCATCTGGCTGATTAATGGTGAGTGATGAAGGGCTATGAAGAGAATTCAGTCTATAAAGGCAGCGATTACTGTTCATGGTCTGAGTAACTGGAGAGGTAAAATCAAGGTGTCCCAAGGCTCTGTAAAGAATCTTGGCACCCACTTGAAAAACAAATGTTTCTTTGCATGCATAAGTAGCTAGATTTTAAAATTTCATACCTCATTTCTTGTATTTTCTCGATAAAACAAAGCAGTGAGATAGCCCAGAATGTGGAATGATCACAAGCCAAATTTCATATTTTTAATTAAAATGCTTTTTTAAATTGCAAGTGCACATAAGAATGTGACGTCTTGCTATGGTACAGTACACATTGCATCAATCCTTTATAATTCTCGGAAATAAGGCATTTATAACAGAATACCTACAATAATGGCAAAAATGCACCTCTTTGTGCATGTGAGTGCGCACATCTGGTCCAACTTCATGGTTTCAGAAATAAAGCAAGCAAGTACAATTTTTTACTATTGAATAATTCTGTTACATTATATTTCAACTACTCACAGGTTGATGAGTTCTAATTTACAACTGTCAAAATGCCATAAAGGCATCTCAGGCTTAGAAAGCTTTCCAAAAGCATTTTATATTGAAGCCCGAGTAAACAAAAATTCATGTCTCAAAGACAATTCAAAAAGTATGTTATAGTTTTGACATAAAACCACAAAAGTAAGGAAACAGACTTTTGCACTGTGTTTAATGAGAAGTTCATTATCTGACTTGTAAAATATTTATTTCTCTTAAAGTGTCAAAAGCTATTAGCCTCTATTGTGAACCTGCCACCAAAATGAAATCTGTTTTCAATTATACAGTGCCAAAAATAGCTAAAAAAAAATCTTAACGTTTTTGAAGGGGTGGGAGAGAGTTCTCTTTGTATCCCTAATTTGCTTATTAAATAATACAAAGAAAAAATTTACTCAGAAATGCTCAGATACCAAGGGAATGGGTAAAGTATCAGACCCTAGCTAGAATAGAATAGATCAGCATGCCAACTTTTAACCATTATTAAATATTTAACAATAAGTATAGTAATACTTCCTAAAATGTTTATATATATTTTATTAATACAAATGTACTGACAGGCCTGGGAAATGGGCACTTTTAAAAACAAAAATAAATTAATTAATAAAAAGTAAAGTTTATATATTGCAAGCATCTCCTCAAACAAACTTGATACTGCAATTTATTTATTTTTTTTTTACTTTACAACAACGAAGATATATAGTGCAAAAATAATCACATCTTACACTGACTGCTTTGGTCTTTTTATCTTGTAAGATTTGACCGATGATACTGAGCCACACATTATCTTTGCCACTTTATTGTTCAAGATGTTAATTCTCACCTGTTTCAGGGTCACTGAAGTCAGGTAAGGTAATCGTATTGAGCTGTCGTCTGTCAGCAATGGCTCTGTCTAACAGACTGCTCCCACGTCCAGAATCACTGTAACACAATATTTGAAGTACAAGTTATTTAAAATATAAAATCAAACACTGACTGTTGAGATACAATTTTTATACTGTACCTCCTCACATGTTGTTGCAAAAAAAATGTGGATAGTGATAATCAAAGTTTAGTATTAAACATGGCCAATTATTCAGCTAAACAACTACACTAAATAAAAGGTAACTAAAAATTTAATCCATACTTATTTTAACAATTTTTTTTCCATAATAAAATCAATCAAAATGGGCACAAAAGATACAAACATTTCAAGTGAGTCATATAATGTTATAGCTTTACAAGTGAAATACATACTCAGACTCAAGTTATTAAACTAGTGCACAATACAGTAAATTTACATGGCAATTAATAAGATGATGACAGTCCTAAAGAACAGAATCTAAACACGTCCAAACCAAAACAAAACGTAGGACAAAGAGTGAAAGTTCAAGAGGAGCTGTGGAGATTACTAAAGAGTAAAAGAAATGCTCAAAGAGCTGAGTTTTAAGCAGGGATCTGAAGAAAAGAGGATGTTTTGCAGATAAACCAATTCAATTTTATGCTTAGTTAAATTTAGGGCAACAACCTTTGTATAAGCCGCAAAGAGTCCTGTGGCACCTTATAAACTAACAGACGTATTTGGAGCATGAGCTTTCGTGGGTGAATACCCACTTCGTCGGATGCATGCATCCGACACAGGACTCTTTGCTGCTTTTACAGATCCAGACTAACACGAGATCCAGACTAACACGGCTACCCTTCTGATACTGGACAACCTTTGTATAAATACAGATGGTACAGGAGACTGGTAATGAATTACTGTAAGAATCTTTCAGCTCTGTTCACTACATTTGAGTCTAGTCTAGTTTGGCAGTACGAAGTCAATGCCATCTAGCCGGTTGATTTGGCATCCTATTTGTAGGGCCCTACCAAATTCATGGTCCATTTTGGTCAATTTCATGGTCATATGATTTAAAAAAATCATAAATTTCATGATTTCAGCTATTTAAATCTGAAATTTCACGGTGTTGTAATTGTAGGGGTCCTGACCCAAAAAGGAGTTATGTGTGTGTGTGGGGGGGGGAGAAGGTTATTGTTGGGGGCGGTGGGGGGCTGCGGTACTGCCACCCTTACTTGTGCGCTGGGCAGCTGGAGAGCAATGGCTGCTGGCCGGGAGACCAGATCTGAAGGCAGAGTTGCCGCCAGCAGCAGCACAGAAGTAAGGATGGCATGATATGGTATTGCCATCCTTACTTCTCCGTTGCTGCCTGCAGAGCTGGGCCCTCAGTTAGCAGCCTCCACTCTCCAGCCGCCCAGCTCTGAAGGCAGCAGCGCAGAAGTAAGGGTGGCATGGTATGGTATTGCCACCCTTACTTCTGCACTGCTGCTGGTGGGGCACTGCCTTCAAAGCTGGACACCCAGCCAACAGCCACCACTCTCCGGCCACTCAGCTCTGAAGGCAATGCAGAAGTAAGGGTGGAAATGCTTCTACCCCCCAAAATAACCTTGTGAGCCCCCCCCACACAACTCCCTTTTGGATCAGGACCCACCCCCAATTTGAGAAATGCTGGTCTCCCCAGTGAAATCTGGAGAAAAGATTTCATGGTCCATGACACGTTTTTCATGGCTGTGAATTCGGTAGGGCTCTACCTATGTGGGAAAAAATTGGTCTATTAGTCCATTTCTTAGTTCACATCACAAATAAACCAACCATATGGACACCTGACTGGCAGTTTTAGCAGAAGGACCAGGACTTAATAGGAATGGAGAATGAATTTCCTCTCACCCCTAAATTGTCCCTCCAGGTTGGTGGTGAGGCACATTAGCAGGACAGTGATGGGAAGCTCGTACTGATACTGTCTGTGCCTTAAACATTCTGTGGATAAATAGATAACTTTTGTTTCTAGGGCTGTTAATCTGGCACTTTTCACAGTTAATTCTCCCTTTTAAAAGGCATTTTTTCAATGGAACCCTAAATTGTAATAGCACCATTTAATATGGTATATGCTCTTGTCTAATTCTCCTCTTACAACAGGACAATTCAGAGTAACTCCATTCAATTCACCAGTATAAAATGGGGTCTAAGAGAGATCAGAATCTGGGCCAGTTTTATATCTGTCCCAATTTTTAAATGGCCTCCTACTTTTGAATTCAAATGTATTTTTGCCCTTTTCTTTCAATTCAGCTACTAAACTCATTATAGTTACACACTTTAAAAACAGAGTGAAAGATACTATTTCCTTTCTTTATGAAGATGTTGCTAAAATGTTACCAATAAGATCTTGCATGACACTAATGTCATTGCTAGACTGCAATTTCCCTGCAAAGGGATACTATTATAGCAATCTACAGGAAACAGAAGGGAATTTTCAGGGATACAGACCATCAGCTATAGTTATTACATCAGTTGGCACATATTTTTTGGTAACAGCTATATTAATTACTTCTTCAACCCAGGAACAATGTCACGCTAAATATCGTTGAACAGAACAACATTTAATGTAAATTACCTTTTAATTACTGCACTGACATTCTGGGTGATTATCTGGTTTCCTCCCGTAGTTAATTAACATTTTGTATTTATTCCAAAATAAGCCTGTATGTGACAATGTCCTACACTGCTCCTAATTTGGGGTGTGGCCTACCTCTTTCCTATTTAATGTACAGAAATGGAATTAAAGTTATACGCATGTACACTGTATTCCCTTAATTAGGCTGAGTTGGTTTAAGGAGGGAAGTACGTTATACTGTAATTGTAATGAGAAAAATATAGAAAAAGAAGAGAAAGAACCTATTTTAATTTTCAATATACTTTAGCAACCAGACTACAGATGCATTGCATTTGATGTAAGTATTACGCCTTAATCCTACAAGCCTTATACCTTACAATAAGGGAATTAAAGAGTAGCAGCATTCTAAGGATTTATAGCCAATTAGTGAGCAAACATTTACTTGTATGCTGGAAATGACTTTCAACAACAAAGAGCAGACTGATCTTATAAAACACAAGAAAACAAAGCCATAGGAAAGAGTAGTATTAGCACTTTTATATCATGTATTCAGTTCAGTTGTTTTCATAGGTAACTGATTAATGAGGACACTGAGTCCAACCTTCTCCTACAAAAGGTGATCTGATTGCAACCAGAGATATGTGCCATTGCAAGTCGAGCTAGTCAGAACAGGGAACTTTCATTCAGCAGCACAAATTAGAAAGGGAACCCCCTTCTAATTATAATACTACTCCGTGTTCAACTACTATTGGTGTGAAAATGCAATATGCTTCATTAGGGTAGGTATGTCACATCACCACAACCCTGTCAGCACTATATCAGGGAGGTATGCCACATCAGATGCTACATAAGGGAGGTGAGTGATACCATCACAACCACAACAGTGCTAATGTGATGTGATTCGCAAAACCAAGTCTCCTGTGTCACAGCATTTATTCATAGCCCCCCCTCCCTGAGATCCACTTTGATCTTGATTGTAATTTATAAAGATTTCTTTGTAACTGAATTGTTAGAGCTTTTTTTACCAAAATCAGCAGCCTTAAAATCTAGGTTAGTGTTAAATACGGAGACAGAGGTTCCCAGGTTCTTAAGGAGAGGTGGAAAGATTAAGAGAGTTGGCAATTATTATTCAGAACTGATATAAAACCCAATGTAATGAGAATACTAAGCTTTTATAATTCAGGGCAGGTCAGAATTCCTGCTGATATCTGGAGGAGTTGTTACTTAACTGAAGTATTTTTAGGCTCGATAGCACTGAGCACATCAGGAAAGCAATGACAAAGCATGGTTAGATATTCGTGCTGCACAAAAGTATAACTGCATATTGTAGGAAGGTATAAAGATATGCTTACAATGTTACGTGCACAGGTATGATGCTGCAATTAAGCTTATAAGTAAATTGAAACCATTCTGCTCAGCAGAGCATTCTGGGAATTTGGATAAGAAACTCTTTTTGCCATATATATAAAATGGGAAATATTAGAAATATTTTTCAAATGACAAACCTACTAACAGTATCTGGACCCTTGCCAAATAGTCCTATTCTAATCTATTGCTAGCCCCTTTTCATACTGGTGTAACAATCTGAACAGAATATTTGGGCTTGTAAATATTTATAACATACTCAGAAAAACAAAAAATAACAAAATTAACTGATTTTATATATATATATAAAGTTGTTGAAAAAGAGATGTGGAAATAAGGCTGTCCTATTTCCACATCTCTTTTTCAACAACTTTATTTTTAAATGAGGGATATCTTCACGAAAATAATAGTTGCTTTTAAAGAGTTCATCTGCTCCTACTGCTTATTCCCACCTTCAGATAGGGTATGTCTACACTACAGGATTAATCCGAATTTAGATAATTCGAATTTGGGAAACAGGTTGTATAAATTCGATTGTGCGCGGCCACACTAAGCACATTAATTCGGTTTTTAACCACATTAATTCGGTGGTGTGCGGCCACACTACCCCATTACTTTAACCACAGTAATTCGGTGGTGTGCGGCCACACTAACCCTAATTCGAATTAACAAAATCGATTTAGGCGCTACTCCGCTCGTCGAGGTGGAGTACAGAAATCGATTTTAAGTGCCCTTTAATTCGAATTAACTGGCTCTGTAGTGTGGACGGGTGAAAGGTTAATTCGGATTAACGCAGCTAAATCCGAATTAAAGTCGTAGTGTTGACCAGGCCTAAGAATACTCTCTTTGTGACATCATAACTAAATACTGTGCAAAAGATGGTGACATCACAAAATGAGGACTTTATATTCAAGCAATGAGTAACCAAATTTGTGAATGTGGGGAAGGCTTTTAAAAAATGCATGGCTGAAGATTAAAGTGGACTGGGCTCTAAACAGATGGTTCTCATGACAACTCAACAAGTCTTCTAAATCGATTTTTTCTCTTTATTGGAAGAAAAACAAAAATATAGTACTACTCTCCTGCATAAACTCCTCGCCCAGCAACAGGCCACCCCTGCAAGTGCTTTTTAAATTGTCACACACTACAGGAATTTAGATGAAACAGAAATATTCCTTATACAGTATTAAATACATTTAAAACATTTTTTTTTAGTACTATTTTTCTATAAACTACACCTAAAGCTACAACACATATAGCTAGTACAAACAAGGGATTAGACAGGTATTTGGAAGCAACACATTTTCAGGTATAAAAGGTACCACAATGGAGGGCACAGTTCAAGCTGAACCCCCTATCTCCCTTGTGGTAAAATTGCTTATATTCCCATTAGTACAGTGGCTCTCAAACTTTTTTACTGGTGACCCCCTTCACATAGCAAATAAATTAAAAACACTTTTTTACATATTTAACACCATTATAAATGCTGGAGGCAAAGCGGGGTTTGGAGTGGAGGTTGACAGTTCACAACTCCCATGTAATAACCTCGCGACCCCGAGGGGTCCCAACCCCCAGTTTGAGAACCCCTGCATTAGTAGAAAGGTAAATTAATCTGAAGTACCATCTGCTCGGTTAGGGTCTGGCCCTTTGCACCACTAAAGCAATGTCAAGGGGCAGAGACTTGGACATAACTGGTCAATTGTAGTTAATTTGGCAGAACTAGTTCCGTACATCAAATGCCACTGGTTAAGGGGGTGTCCTAGGAAGGGCATCCCTCTGCTATGCTGAGCCTTAAGTGGTGTAAATTAGAACACCCCCATAGCTTCTCTAACTCGTGGCCGGGCCAGGTCCACTAGAGACCAAAGCTCAGAATCAGGGATCCAGAAATAGCTGTCTTATGTGCCCTCTCTCCTTGCATTCTCCTCTCAAAAATTCCCGCTCTCTAAAATATTCCCATTGGAGTAGCTTGTGCACAATTTCTAGCACACCTCTCCTCCCCCCCAGATAATGGATGATATTGGCTCTTATATTTTAGAAATAATTAGGGCTGTCGATTAATCGCAGTTTACTCAAAACTAATCATAATTAATTGCACTCAAACAATAGAATACCAATTGAAATTTATTAAATATGTTTGGATGTTTTTCTACATTTTCAAATATATTGATTTCAATTACAACACAGAATACAAAGTGTACACTGCTCACTTTACATTATTATTTTTTATTACAAATATTTGCACTGTCAAAATGATAAAAGAAATAGTATTTTTCAATTCACCTCATACAAGTACGGTAGTGCAATCTCTTTATTGTCACAGTGCAAGTTACAAATGTCAATTTTTTGTGGTTACATAACTGCACTCAAAAAACAAAACAATGTAAAACTTTAGAGCCAACAAGTCCACTCGGTCCTACTTCTTGTTCAGCCAATGGCTAAGACAAACAAGTTTGTTTACATTTACGGGACATAATGCTGTCCGCTTCTTATTTACAATGTCACCTGAAAGTGAGAACAGGCATTTGCATGGAACTTTGTAGTTGGCATTGCAAGGTATTTATGTGCTAGATATGCTAAACATTCATATGACCCTTCATGCTTTGGCCACCATTCCAGAGGACATGCTTCCATGCTGATGACGCTCGTTAAAAAAAGTGTGTGAATTAAATTTGTGACTGAACTCCTTGGGGGAGAATTGTATGTCTCCTGCTCTGTTTTACTTGCATTCTGCCATATATTTCATATTATAGCAATCTCGGATGATGACCCAGCACATGTTGTTCGTTTTAAGAACACTTTCACTGCAGATCTGACAAAACTCAAAGAAGGTACCAATGTGAGATTTTTAAAGATAGCAACATCACTCAACCCAAGGTTTAAGAATCTGAAAGGGATGAGGTGTGGAGCATGCTTTCAGAAGTCTTAAAAGAGCAACACTCCAATGTGGAAACTACAGAACCCAAACCACCAAAAAAGAAAATCAGTCTTCTGCTGACTCAGATGATAAAAATGAATATGCGTCGGTCCGCACTGCTTTGGATTGTTATCGAGCAGAACACATCATCAGCATGGAAGCATGTCCTCTGGAATGGTGGTTGAAGCATGAAGGAACATATGAATCATTAGTGCCTCTGGCATGTAAATATCTTGCGACGCCAGCTACAACAGTGCCATGAGAAAGCCTATTCTCATTGTAAACAAGAAGTGGGCAGTAGTATCTCCTGCAAACAAACAAACTTGATTGTCTGAGCGATTGGCTGAACAAGAAGTAGGACTGAGTGGATTTGTAGACGCTAAAGTTTTACATTGTTTTATTTTTGAGTGCAGTTATTTTTTTGTACATAATTCTACATGTGCAAGTTGCACTTTCACAATAAAGAGATTGCACAACAGTCTTTGTATTAGGTCAATTGAAAAATATTATTTCTTTTGTTTTTTACCTTGCAAATATTTATAATAAAAATAATAATATAACGTGAGCACTGTACACTTTGTATTCTGTGTGGTAATTGAAATCAATATATTTGAAAATGTAGAAAGCATCCAAAAAAATTTAAATAAATGGTATTCTATTATTCTTTAACAGTGTGATTAATTTTTTTAATCGCTTGAAAGCCCTAGTGATAATCAAACAGTTGGGTATATGCTCTTAGCGATTATCAAATGAACTTTGTGAGTTTTAGTCCCTGTTAAATACAACTCTGATTGTACATTAAACGTATCAGACTTTAACCCTTTTTCCCTTTGAAAAACAGAAATCAATGAGTCCCAACCATCTCTAATTTATCTTAGAAAAGCAGAAATGCAAATATGCAGTAATAAAAATTAAGACAGGCCTTTCCAGCTTTCATTATCATAAAACTTCTTGTAATTAACCACCCACTTCTGTCTCAAAATTGTAGAGCAATGTATTTAAAAAAACCTTTTGTAAATAGAGACCAGATATATCCCAAGAACCATCTTAGCAGTAAACACAAGAAAAAAGATTTATGAATTGTAATTAAATTGGAAATCTTCTGATGAGTTTCAGTGTACAGGAGACAAAATCCAAGATTTCTTTAGCATCTTACCTAGGGTTAGTGAGATTGTAACAGGACTTCCAAATCTGTAGCATATGTTTGCAGGTAAGGAGTGCCTCATCCGGGCCTCTGCACAGGGATTCCAGTTTGGCTTTTGAAAACAGTAATCTAACGGAGAAGGGGAAATTTTTTTTTTTGAAGAGTCACACTGAAGCAAAAACCCTTAATCTTCATTTGAGAGATCCTTGCAATGATTTGAAAACAAATTAGAATACAAAAGTTCCCAATACTATCTACAGAGAACCAAACTGGAGGGGAATCTGAAATATTGACTTTATAGAACCATACCCTGGAATTGTATTCTTTAGGTATTTTTCTTTACCTTACACATCACATACAAAGAAATCATTCTAATAGGAGCCCTATTTGTAAAGTAACATATGGTAATATACAACTCATTTTTTGTTGTGGAAGCATAAACACACAGTAAATTAAATCTGATTTTCATAAAATTTTGCATTCATGTAGATATCTTGGTCTAAACTAGGGTGCATTCTTCAATTAAATTCTATGTTCAAGGGGGAGTCTACATTTATTTTTTTCTTGTAATTCTCAATATGGGCTCCATTCAGTGTCAAAATCAGCACCTAGATCCAAGATGACATTGACTACATTTAACATAGAACCATGTATATCAACCCGTGGGAACTGTGGTGTACAAAATATTTATCTTATATACCACTGTACTTTTGACTTAATGAATTGTTTTTTGTTCTTTGACGTTTAGTGGGTTTTTTTATGACTGAAAACACAAGGCTGAAATATCTGACCACAGAATACAATTTCTATGATACATCATCACTGTCAAACCAATCTTGGGAACCAATAACGTCAGTGATATACTGTAAATTTGATGGAGATACAAGATGAGTGAGGTAATATCTTTTATTG